CTTGTACTTGCCAGGCAAGCACTTAGACTTCTGAGCTATCTCCCCAGTCATGTCCCTCATTCTTTTGATTTATCTCCTTATTTAATATTTCCCTGGCACATGAGAAGTTTCAGATTGACTGTGTACTTACCCTTTTAGACCTGAATCAGCTGTTCATTTTTGTGGAAGATGTATTTGTACACAGCTGGGTTCAGAATGTTTATTGCTATTGGAGTTTCATTGCTTCAAGTCCTTTTCATTGGATAGTCCTAGGGAACAAATGCATGCATCTGTAAGTTTGTTAAACAATTATCTGCCAGATGTGTGGCGGTCAGGCCAGGAAGGGTGAGAAGAGCAGTGGGAGCTGGGTGGTGCACCCACAGTCCCCATTGCCTGTTTCTCTAGTGTCTCAGTTACTCTTCTCTCATTGCTGGGACAGATACCTGACACTCACAATGAAGGAAGGAAAGATTTATTTAACTCACAGGTAATGGAAGTTTTAGTCCAAACTCAGCTGGTTTCAAGGCAGAGTGCAGCAGTTCATGGCAGGGGCAAAGAGAAAGAGCAGATGAGAGGAGTAGTGGCAACAACAGCAACAGAGGGCAAGGCTGTCTCCTTTACTCTGCATTCAGGCTATATACCCCAAGCTGGGTGTAGCACTCACTCCCATAATCCCAGCAGTACTAAAACCCATAATCCTAGCCTTGATCATGAATTAATCTCAAACTCTAGAAGTACCCACCCCATGACTTCATGAGGCTTTGCAAAGACAACTAAATACAAATTATAGAACATCTAACTATCTGCATAGATGAAAAGCCGTGACTTCTTGTGAAAATACCCTATTTTTTTTTTTTTTTTGAGACAGGGTCTTGCTATGTAGTTCAAGCCAGCCTTGAACTCACTATGTAGCCTGGGCTGGCTTCAGATTCACAGCAATCCTCCTGCCTCAGCCTCCCGAGTGCTGGGGTTACAGGCATGCTGGGGCACCAATTCCAATGTAACATTTTGGGTTCTTTTCGTATTTCTGTGTTTGTAACATCTAAAAAAGTAGAGAACTGCTTGACTGTCATCCTTAATGTAAATGTACTTATTGATTTGCTCAGTTTTCTTTCCATGGTGTATTATTTTCACTTTTAAAAATATTTTTTGTTAGTACATATAAAAGATGGGGTTTGTACACATAAAAGACGTCGTATTTTCATACATGCATGTAACATAATTTATCCTCTGTTATCTTCCCTTGCACTTGTGTCTTCCTTCTCCCATATTCCTTTTGTCTAATAATAGTCTCCCTTCTGCTTTCATGTTGTTTTCTCGTTATTGTTTAGATCCTACATATTAGGGAGGCCTTGCCACATTTGTATTTCTGAGTTAGTCATTTTTCTTATTCCATAATGTAAGCATCTTCCCAGTGCCTCCTGCTCTCCACCCACTTTGTAGCCTGTGTTCAGTTGCTGCATCCTATACAGAACTTCCATCATCTTCCTGCTGAGAAAGGGAAAGAAAGGACAAGTCCAGTAGGACTTACTGACATAGAATTTTAATAGTGAATAACAAACAGGAGTGTACGTAACAAACTTACACATGCTTTGACTCTTAAGCATTATGGAGAACAATGGTGTACAATTGCAAATGCAGTCGCAATCAAGAGTAGTGGTCAATTCCATCTCCAGTCACTCAACAGCTAAGTGTTTTAAGTGTCTACTATCTGTATACATAACAATCCTCTAGGACATGAATATGTTAATTTTTAGTGAGTTGTAGAAATTAATTTATCCAATGAATTTGGAATGCCTACTAAGTCACTAGCATTGTGCATAATAGGTAGTGACCTGGGTATGTTCTCTGTTCTCAAAAGTCCCATAGTCTGATGGGAGATTTTATGATGTTCTGGCATGATAAGAAGGCTAAAATGTATAATGTTTTTTTTTTTTCTTTTAAATTTTTATTTATTTATGTGTGTGTGTGTGTGTGTCCAGCTCAGCCCACCAGGGGGCGGGCTGGCTGGCATGTGGTGCTGGGGGATTGAACCACAGTTCCTGTGCTTTGCTAAGCTTGTTCTAAGTAGGTGCTTTAGACCACTGAGCCATCTCACCAGCCCCAATGTATAATGTTAAAATATATAATGTATAATCCTAAATTGGAGGACTAGGCATGGAGGCTGAGAAAGTGAAGAGATTGTACGTATGAAGGCATGAAGGTAGATGGGTTGTGCTCTAGTAATGGCTTTGACATCTCTTGTCTGTAGACAAAACAACATCAAAGGATTGACCATTATCCACTAAACATAATGAATGTGACAGGGCTCCTTCTGGTAAGTTTCATTTCACGTATTTAGTATTCAGTGTGCTGAATATTATGGAGTAGGGAAGTGGTGACACAGCTCTTCTTGGGAATGTTTTACAGCGTAAGCAGAGAACTGCACGCAGATACTGTAAAGCAATAAATAAGAGGGAAGTGACCTTAGAGAGGTGATAGCAGGGTGAAAGGTAGGGTGGGGAGACCAGGAAATTGTGGACCATAGACTAGAGCAGGAGCCAGTGGACTCTTCCTGTTAAGGGCCAGATTGTAAATACTTTCAACTTTATGGGGTGTACAGGTGTTTTGACACTACATAAGTCCATGAGTTTAGTTCTGTTTCAGTGTTTATGAAAACAGACACCAGGTTGTCAGCTCTAGAGTACTGATTTCTGGAGCAGAACTTTGCTCTTTTCATTTGTTTATATGGTTATTTTATTCTCTGTTCTAGCTCATGTCCTAGAGGATTGTTATGTGTATATATAGAAGACACTTAGATATTTAGCTGTTGAGTGACTAGAAATGGAATTGACCACTGCTCTTGATTGGGACTGTGCATTTGTGATTGTGCACCATTGTTTTCCATAAGTAAGCCAAACTGTGGGACCTATAAAATTCACTGTCTTACCACATTCACATTCAGTTTCTAGTTAAATAATTCAGAATTTTTTGGTCTTTATTTAGATGAGTATTTTTAAAATCAGAAAAGATTTTGTGCCAGTGAAGCCTTGCTAATAAGCTTCTGATCACTGCCAAAGCAATAGCCAGGCAGTTATTAATAAGCTACATTAAGGGCTAAAGATGAATGTGCTTTGGAAATTTACTTCATTATTAGTAGCATGTTTTTATGTCAGCCTTGGAGGCAGAAGGAGGGCACAAGAAGAATAAGAAGTATTTTCCTTGTTACTGCCTCTTCCAGACTTACTGAACTCTTTTTGAGTTTTGTTTGAGAAGTACATTTCCCCTTTGCCTCCCCAGGCAATGACTTCGACAGTTCAGGGACAAGAGGCAGTAAATATCGAGGTCCTATTTGCTTGATGCACTGTGGTGAAATGGCCCAGAGAAGTTTTTTGTTGTTTGTATGTATGTATTTATTTATGTATTTGGTGCATGGTCTCCCTACACAGTTGGACTCATAGTGATCCTCCTGTTTCAGCCTCTCAGCACTGGAATTATAGGCGTGTGCTGCCACACCTGGCTTCGTTGGCCCACAGGACACACCTGGGGCTCCAGGGCTGGCATGGCATGTGGTACTGGAATCGAACCCAGGTCATTTTGCTTGCTAGGCAGGATCTTAGACTGCCAAGTTATTTTCCCAGCTGGACCCAGGACAATTGTGTAATCATAGGATTGGCCTTTATGGGAATCATTATCTGAGATTAAAATAGCTGTCAACTCTGATCTTCATTCAGAATAGATGATGGTTTCTTTGTGGAGTACTAGCTTAGCGGTTCTGAAGAGAGTAGAGACAGACACCATGATTTTGACTGGGTTGAGTGAGGCTTCCATTTCATCACAGTTGTCCACTTACAGTGTCCCTTCTGTATTTTTTGTCCTTCCTAGCTCCCCAGGTATTCATTACTCGCATGTATTGTACTTAGTTTGTTTGAAACATAATTGTGCCTGTTTATGCCTGTGCATCCTTAAAGGGCATCGTCTCCTGAAGAGATCTCTCTTTTTTCTAAACTGAATACTTTCCAGTATTCAGGGAAGGAAGGAACTGATTTGTCTTTTCTTTTTGTATTTATTTTTTATTTTTAATGTATTTGGTACAGGGTCTCAGTACGCAGCTTGGGCTTATAATGATCTTTCTGTTTTCAGCCCCCTTAGCTCTGGGATTACAGATGTGCACCACCATGCCCATCTGGGTGGCCAGCTGGGTGTGCCTGCAGGCAGGGCAGGATCAAACCTGGTCTCTGTGCTTGCCTAAGCAGGTGCTTAGTCAGCTGAGCTGTCTCCCTGGCACTCTGATCTGTCTTTTCTAATTGATAAGACATTTGTCTTGATGTATGAACTGGTGATGCGTTCTTATCCTCTGGCATGCTGTATTTTAACCTTTGTATTTCACTTAAGATATGTTGGTTTTGGTCTGATTAGTTCCTTTTTTCTTTTTTCTCTTTAAGATTTGGAGCTACTTTCCATCCATGATTTTATCAACTTTCATCGAATATAGTCAGTGCAGATAAATAAAATAGTATGTTTTTGTGTTTACAGTGGGATCATGAAACCCGGCCTCAATGCCATTCTTGGGCCCACTGGTTCCGGCAAATCTTCGTGAGTATAACAGAAAAAACAAATAAGCCTTTTCTGTGCAGTTTCAGTGCTTTTTTTGAAAATAACTTCTACAGGCTAGGTACATAGCTCAGTGGTTAAGTGCTTGTGTAGCATGCAGAAAGCCCTGGGTTCAATTTTCAGCATCACAAAAAATTCACTTAAAAAGCCCTTGCTGTGAGCACATTTTGGGTGAGCATTTGCTGTGCTTGTTTTCTCTGGTCCTAGGGGCCGTGGCTGATGTGCACTTGAGCCGGGTTCTCGTTTTGTTTCAAGGACCAGGAAGTCTGATTAGCATGGTTTTACTAATAGGACATGACAAAGTGATTGGCGTGGTGCTGGTGAGCCTTTTAGAAACCATGGGCCCAAACTACAGCTCAAAACCCACTTATTTATTGCAAAGTGCCAATGCAGCAGTTAAATCTGCTTAGCTTTTTTTTTTTTTTTTTGGTAGAAAAGCTCAACTCTACATTCACATCTTTTGTCTTAAAGAAAAAGCATCTGGCTATATTATGAGCTCCTGAGGAGAGGAAACAAAAGGATAATGCTAAAAGTGGGGAGATAGGACAGAAGGTAAGGCTGAGGGTGTGAGTTTTAGATAAAGGAGTAATTTGCCTGGGTTGGGACCTCCAAAGTCAGATGGTAGAGTCATTTGAGATGTCTGCTGGATATGCCAATGAAACTTAATTTTAATGACTTGATTTTCTAATTAGAGCAGAATTTAGATTCAATATGGTTAAAAAGTATGACCTGCGTTGGATGGAAATCCCCTACAAAATATATGTACTTTTATAGATTGTTAGATATCTTAGCTGCACGGAAAGATCCACACGGATTATCTGGAGACGTTTTGGTAAATGGAGCACCTCAGCCCGCCAATTTCAAATGTAATTCAGGTTATGTGGTACAAGTAAGTATCAACAGTTTCTTTGCTTCTATAAGGGTAAGTATATTGGCTTGTAGCTTAGTGCGCTTCTAGATGATTACATGATATGCGCATAGAAGCAGCTTCCTTTATACCAGCTTCCCCTGCTGTCCTGTTATGTCCAGGGTGATGTTAAATGGAAAGGCAGAGATGGTGTGGAATATGACCCTCGCAGGTAGTGACATTAATTCCAACTGTTACATCCTTTTCAAAAGATACCACTGTTGTCCTTTTCTGCCTTTCTTTTACCTTCATCCTTCCCCTGGCTTAGAGAGATGTCCTTGGCAAATCCCTACACAGCCATCTGTTAGTAGTATTAGCTAGGATCTCCTTGGGTATGCAGGTTGGGAGTGGAAATGTGTCCCTTAGGAATCTGCAGGCATCTGTACATGGAGTCACTGCAATCTGTGGACTCAAGATCACCATTAACTAGAACTTTATCAGGGGCTTGGTATTTTCATGGAATGAACACCTATACTAGAGTGATGGTCTTAGAAGAGATTTGATATGCCTCAGTAAAATGCTGTTTTTTCTTAAGGATGATGTCGTGATGGGCACGCTAACAGTGAGAGAAAATTTACAGTTCTCAGCAGCTCTTCGGCTTCCAACAACCATGAAGAATCATGAAAAAAATGAAAGGATTAATGTGGTCATTAAAGAGTTAGGTCTGGATAAAGTGGCAGATTCCAAGGTAATGTGAAAAAAAGCTTAGTGTCATAGCCAGGAAATAGGAACTTCTCGAGGCAGGTAATAAAACCTCACTCACAAAGCTTGTAGAATGTGTGCGCTGAAAATGGTTGTTTTCCGTAATGATGCAAAAAATGACAAGTTACTGCATAATACGAAGGTAGAAATTAAATTGGAAAGCCAGTCTCCACAGAGGGTCAATCCTGGGGCTGGAGTCTAAGCTAGATGGGTGTACTCATGTGGCCATTTCCCCCTTGTGTGGTCATGCTCTGTTGGCACCTCCGCACTAACTCTTCTTTCTGTTTCTATGTTCTCACGGTTAGCTATTCTCCCTCTCTTCCTGCAGGAACTTTGTTTCATCATGGCTTTTTTGAGATATATTTCTAGAACCAATGATCTGAAGAATCCAAATGGTCCTAGAGTTCTTGTTCTGTATACTTATTTCATGTTCTGTATATTGTACTATAATTTGGCTCCCAAAATTATATTTAGTTGTATTAAAATTTCATTTGTGTAGTGCTCAAGTTATTTTTTCTATAGACTTTCTTTTGTTACTTTTTGTTTCCTATCCTTTTCCTCTGTTGCCTTCCCCCACTTTTCTGCTGACGTTAAATTTCTAGACTCCTAAACGCAGGGTGTCTTTTAGGTTTTAATGATACAGATGTGGGCAAGTAAGAGGACAAAATGACTCCATGTAGGGGTGATGGTGCAGGATCAAGAAGAGAGGATGAGAGGAATGAGTGAACGTGAAAATTTTGCTTAGTAGACACGTGGGGCTTTGGGTGGAAAGTTCTAAACTTTGAGTTACTGAGCTCGTAATGGCCATAGTTAGCCCTTGCAGCATCCCCTCCTGAAGGCCCTGGAAAACAGGGCTTCTACCAGCCACTGCTTCCCATGATGCTTGCTGACACTTTTAAGTAAACCAATGTTTTCTGCTGAATTTTGTTTGGAGGAGTAGCTCCAGCATTCACCATTCATTACCTATTTTTCCTTTTTGAGTGATAAGAGTTTGGTTTGGCATTATTTGCTTGAGTTCTTCTTTCCAATAAGGTACATTCTTTTATTGCATTAACCTTTTTCTTATTTGCAGTGCTGGCAAAATGCAATGGGATCCTTACACATGCTAGGCAAACGCTGTGCTGGTGAGCTTTAAGTGAGCTGTACCACCTACCTGCCCTGTGCTTGCTTTACTAGCTGTTTGCTTGGATTCCCAGGGAAAATATAGCACCAGATTTTGAGTTCTTAGAATTTGTAATTAATAGAAATAATTTTAAAAGTTTTAGCTGTAATTGACTTTTAAGTATAACAAATGGAATCGATTATTAAGATACAATTATGTATCTTAGTATGATTGCTAATATTGTTTCTCTCAATTTTCAGTTGCTAATATCTTATAATTGCTATAGTTCTTTTTTACTGAAGTAGTTTTTAAAAAGGTATACAATATTTCATCCTGAATACATGTTATACTTTGCTGCAAATAAAAACGTGAGGCTGAGGATGTACCTCCGGGGTAAAATACTGGCTTAGCATGTGTAAAACCCTAGGTTCTGTTTCTAGCACCAAAACAAAAAGCAGAAAAATAAATAAGTGGAAAAAATAGCAAAACACTGCTTTACTACATTACTATTATCAATTAAGATGAACAACATCTTCACCATCAGTTATGTGAAACCATATTCAATGACATTTCCCATATTATCTGCAAATATCTTTTGTGATTTTGTTAATATGGCAATGGGGAGCTCTTGATTATTATTTCTCTGGAGACTTTGTAACCCAGTCCATCTTCCAGCCACCATAAAGCCTTTCTGTACCACTTACCATACAGTGAAGATGAGTGGTTAACAAAATTCAGCCAGGTACCCTGTGGAACGTCCTGCCTTCTGGATTTATCTGAAAGGATGAATCAGGAATTATAGGGGCTAGGGAGATAGCTCAGCAGCATAAGCATCT